GTAGCACACTGTAGGTGGATGCCCTGCCTCCATCCATATATATACAATTTTCAATATATTCATTTTTCATTATCCATTTTTGAACTATTACACTGTAACCTAATTTAACATAAAACCGACTATTTATTGGAGGATGAAGATGTGATTTTGGCTATTATATCAGCAATATACTTGAAATTCACCCACGTATTTTTAATTAATTCACTATATTAATTAAATTACGTGTAAATATTGTAATAATACAATGGTAAAATCAGAACTTACCAAGCCCGGGGTACGATACTAAATATATTTAACACTTGATCAAGCTTTTTGTCACGACTCTCGCTACTTATGTTATGACAGAATTCATCCCTACGGGCTCTTTCAGTAACTTTTTATAATTAGTCCGATTGAGTGATTCTGTAGGATTCTAATTCAGATCAAATAGCCCTATCAGATGTACTGTCAAGGGGATTGTTGAAACAAGGGCAGCTAATGTAGCGCCCTCTTCTCTACGTTCAATTAAACGCTGTCAAATTTAATACAAATTACACATCGTTCAATTTTATCCCTCCAGATGTAAATTTAGTGAGTTTTTTTGTTGTTACTGGCTGTACTCCTTAATTGGATTGAATGATACAAAACTATCTCCCATAATTCAGTTTACATAAGACGTTACTGCTTCGGGCAGAATGCTGCCTTTTTGTCATTCAAAACGCGAATTATTTGTTAAAAGATGGGCTTCTGATATCTAATATTTAAGACAAAATAAACATTTTACCATTGGTACACGAATCGTGTCGTGTACCATAATGCGTTTCAGCGCCATTTGTAACAAGGGACTCGGAAAACCAGGCTAAGCATATTCAACAAGTCATGTCAAACGGTGACATCATATTCTTATCTGGAGAGCATGCGCAATAAATACTATCGGGGTAGACTGGAATAACTAGACACTAGAGATTTCAATTCGATTGAGACTTCTGGCGTATTTCGCCGAACATAACTGATTAGAAATTAGAGTAAAAACAGAAACGATTGAATGTAAATCAGTTTATATACATTCATATTACATTATTATATGCGTTGCGACCCATTTGTGTCAATTTCTAGATCCCAAATATTAGCGATTTAGCTCCTTTAAGGGTGATATAATACAGGTCAAGAAAAACTGTGTGATGTTTATAACCAACGGAAATTATTAACCACTTGCTAATAATGAAGTGAAATCAATGATTGTGAGTTGTTTTTTGGTGTTTTTTTTGTTTTGTATGTGTTTTTTTGTTATACCGCCAGCTGTATACAGAAATAAACCAATAAATATAATAATACCATAGTTTGTTTTTAAAACAATTTGCTGACTTGTCATATTCCCAGATTAAAGATGAAACGTCGTGCCTTTCGGCAACAACCGTGCTAATGATGACGGCCATGGGCCGTGGCGTTTCTTTGGTAACTGGCCATATTCCCAGTTTAGCAACAACCGTGCTAATGATGACCGTCATGCGACATTTTGCCCGGACAGCGGCGTTTCTTTGGTGACTGGCCATATTTCCAGATTAAAGATATAATGACTGGGATTTAACGTCGTGACGTAATCCCCACCCGAATCGCTAGACGCCCTTCCTTTCGTGGGACACCAGAATGAATCGCCGTTGCTCGGCAGTTAAAAGAAAAGATAAAAGTTAATAGACAAGATAATTATGACAGACACGGTTACAACAACGGTAACGTCAACGACATCCAGGCATTCACCATCGGAACATCTTTACAGTATATTTTGTAAGCTGGGGGGGGGGGGCGAATGGTTAGCGCGTTGTTGTATCATAAGGTCTGTCGTTGAGTCAACTGGCGTGGTTTCGATTCACCGGTTGTACGTGACAAGGAGTAGGGTCGCCTGTCCAACCTCGTGGGTTTTCCCCGGGTCCTCCGGTTTCCTCCCACTGCTAAAGACCCCTACGCGCAAGCGAATTATTGAAATAAAATTGAATCATGTGTTCGTCCCGAAATGACCTAGTTTGTGTCGAGTGGACGTTAAACCCATCCCTCTCTCACTCACTCTCTCTCTCTCTCTCTCTCTCTCTCAACTTTTAATTTTTGAATATCGTAGAAATAATAAATCAAATATAGGAGAGAAAAAACCCCAGATGAATTACCATTAGTTTATTCAACACCGAATATCCCCCCCCCTCTCTCTCTCTCTCTCTCTCTCTTTTGTAAGCTATGTGAACACATCCATTGAGAAATGGTATCAGGTGTTCTAGAAAGATTTAGTAAGTTTCGTTACTGCCAGGGTTTCTGTTGTCGATAAACGGTTATATATATATTTGCGTCTTTCTAACTGGAGGCACTCACTGTCCATGTGGAATTTCTCGTCTGTTGCCAGGGCCAGTCAGACAGTGCTTGCGGCAAATAATTGGTTACTCGGACACCGCCATGAGTATTTAGTATTTATTACCAAAATTATTTTCCAACTTTGCCTAGAATGCCACCCACGTCCCAGCATTATAGAAATAAATCATAGTACCGTCGACTCTAAAAGGACATTCCAATATAAAGGAATAAAGCCATGTAATATTGGATTCGAAAATCAGAATCTAAGAATATTAAAAAATATAGTAGCGGGGTTTGACGTCTGGCGTTTCCACACCAACCGGGCTAACAAAGACGGACACATTCCATCCAAGGGCTGGCAAGAAATAGGCTAGTCCTTCGTATTGGAGGAGAAACTGAGGCTCGCTATACACGTTTACGTGCACGAAAAGAACAGCTGGAATTAGATGAAGACTGGGCAGAAACGTCGCTGTTCGGACAAAAACCCATTTCATTTCTTTTCTACCAAGAAATTGTCTAGCGAGTATACACAATTAGCCAATTTTGAAGACCCCAGTACCGTTAGCCAGTGCACTCCGACAGACTATCAGAGTATCTACTATCGGTCGCCAAACAGTGAATCTGTGCGGCCAACCAACCCAACTCCGCAACCGACTATCGCCCGATAGCGACCCGACAATTGCTGTCGGTGGCGTCAATGGCAGCGATTCTAGGCGACCGACCCTGGTTTGCCTAATAACAACTCTTTGGTAAAAAATAGTACACGAGTGGAATTTTACGCCATTTCTAAAGAGCGGAATTCTATCTTTAAACATTAAAGCTGTGATTCCCGAAAGAATTTGTTCATCCTAGTCGTTTATAAAGTTAATTCAATGTAGATAATGGATGGCATCCTGGTATTTATATAAGGTATAATTTCACAGACATGGCCTACAGATTCACCAACAGCTTGTACAAAGGTTACGCTCTTACTTAACCACAAATTTATAAAGTAAATCATTTTATATACGACCTTAAATACACTATGAATAATGAACTAATGGAAAGGGTCACTCTGGGCTTGATTGGATTTGACTCGGGGATAACTGACTATCATAAAAGCATATTCACCCTTTAATAGAAGCGGACGAAAACTCGTCAGTAGTAGCAGTAATAGTGAAATGAAATTAAATGACGTTTAACGTTTTAATTTGTTGCACGCCAACATAAACACGGGACCACGGTATTTCGTCTCATCCATAATTGACTCCCATAATGAAAACGGGCATACGCCATGCAGTGTGCTACGAGGAAAATTTTGCCCGGACAGCGGCGCTATAGCCTACTCTATTTCGAATTCCAATAGCCAAGAGTTCTTTAACGTGCACGCAACTGTGTACGCGGTGGCTGACATGCAAGCTGATTCATCCTATATAATGGAAGCGGAGGATAAAATTTAGCATTAGGAGTGAAATGAAATGAAATGTTGTTTAACATCCCGCGTTTCTGCACCACCGACTGGGTTAATGAAGTCGGAAATGAAATGAAATGGGGTTTAACGTCCTACTATTTTGCTCCTATACTGGGGCTAATGAGTGTGCTATGAGGGAAATTTTGCCCGGGCAGCGGCACTATCGCCTACTCTTATATCGAATTCCAACTGCCAAGGGATCTTTTACGTGCATTCCAATGTATACACGGGACCTCGGTTTCCGTCCCATCCGAACGACTAGACAGCTGTCCGGATTAATACCCATTAAACTACAGTATTGTTAAAGTTGAATTTCTAAAGGGACTATCGGTGCAATACTGTCAAAGTTGAATCTCTAAAAGGCTATAAGTCTTAAAATGGTTCAACAAAATGGTTCAACTCCGTTCGGCATCCTCTTCACATGATATAAATTGAATACATGAATTGAAATTAGGATTGACGTCCTACTAATAGGGCGGGACGGAGGGCCTGACAAGGACAGCTGTCTTGTCATTCGGGTAGGACAAAAAACGACGTTCCGTGTTCACATTGGCGTGCACGTAAAAGATCACTTGTCTGTTGGAATTAGATATAAGAGTAGGTCGTAGCACCGCTGTCCGGCCAAAATTGCTTCTGATACTTGAGCTTTAGAGGGAGTTTGTCTATTCACTCAAAACTATCCCAAGTACAGCAATATGACAGCCCGTCGTTTAATCTGGGTCTTCTCTAAAACTTTGGACAGTGGTTTAAGGTATTAAAAACGGTGAAAGTATGTTCGTCTCCAAACAGTATTGTTTACACTGTTTTCGATTTGATAGACCCGTTTGCCACGCAATTAGTTTTTCTGCAATATTCTGCTATGCACTAGTTAATTGGGTATAATAAAATCGTAAACATATTTGGTCCAATTTGGAGCTCTGTTTTATTAGCGTAATGCTTTTGTAGCGCAGTTAGCTATTGGTTGTTAATCGGACCATTGACCAGTCATAATTTGGAAACTCGTCTTCATTAGCCCAGTTCCGAGCAGAACAGTAGGACGTTAAACCCCATTTCATTTCATTTCATTTCATATTCATAATTTGGAACAGAAATTTGACTTCGTTAAAGAAGTGTTTAGTGGGATTAGGTATAATGAAACGAAACACTGCGAGGAGTATGATGAAAAGAGTTTGTTTTATTCCACTAGAAAACAACCCAAAAACTTTCAAAACTTTAAAATAAACAAACATCTTACCTGGATTTGTTGTTAATGTTTGTTGAAAAAATTGTATTTGTGTCTGTCGAGTGTTACTTTTTTGGCGCCTAAATTCCAAACTATTCAAACTTGGTAGCCAAACCCAGGAATTTCTATCGAGTCCAAAACTTGTCTGTGAAAATCTGTTACAGCTATCTCTTGCTCTCTCTTTCTCTCTCAGACCCAGTAATATAGCATACAAGCCTCGTTATCAAGATTGATATTTCCCGAATGATTGGAGCTGCAAAGCTCTACTAATAACCAGCACCAGAAGGCGTGGGGGACGGAATTATTGATTTCTAGGCGTTTCATTGGTTGTTTACTGGTAATAAAAATGATTAACTCATCATTGATTGGTTAGTTGGTCAACGTTGTTGGCGGATGGAATGGTTTAGACAAACATAGCACAATATATGGTATTACCGATATTAATGTAGGGGAACGGCTTTTATCGTGTTCTTTAACAGCCCTTAATTGAATGGATTAATCTCTCGTCAATTTACATCATAGAAATAATTTTTAAGAGTTTAATAATGGTTTCTTATAGCGGTTAATCTCGTCTGAATAATCTCGAAGCACTATACAGAATTCTAACAATTGTTCTGGTTATTTAAAGAACATGTTTTTAAACAAACTGTTATCAACTTTTTCCAGACAAGGCCGACAACGCATACCTTAGATAGAAAAGATAAATAAAGGCAACAGATTGCTTACGGATAAAGCTTAAAGCAATTTAGAAAATTAATTTCGCCCATAGGATATAGAAATTTTTAAAAAAAGAATCGTGTTCAGGGTTCATGTTTTATTCCGTTTAAAGAAATGAAATAGGGTTTAACGTCCTACTGTTCTGCTCCTATACTGGGCTAATGAAGACGGGCATACGCCATACAGTGTGCTATGAGGGAAATTTTGCCTGGACAGCGGCACTATGGCCTACTCTTATATCGAAATCCAACTGCCAAGGGATCTTTTACGTGCATGCTAATGTGTACACGGGACCTCGGTTTTTCGTCCCATCCGAACGACTAGATAGCTTTCCTTGTCAGCCCCTCCGTCCTGCATCACTGACAAGGGATAACCACGCCGGAAAATCTGGATGAACTTTCTCGGCCAATGCAGGGATCGAACACCCGACCTCCAGGCTAGCGTCTCACCCACTTAGCCACGTGATCCCCTTCCGTTTAAAGTATAAAGACGTATGGTGTCGATTATTTGTTCCATATTATGAAGTCTCGAACTAAAATGAACATCTGACGTAAAATCAAGGACGTTTTAAAACGCTTGAAGACAGTTCTTGACATTATAAGCGTTTTGATAGTTTATTCCATTTATAAGCATCGGATTAAAAATAACGTAATTAGCTGGGTTTTCTTTTAAAAAAACCAAAAAAACCAAAAAAATAAACCCTAGTATTCTAGAACTGGTCTAGAACGGTCGTACTATGGAACAGAAACTGACCATGTTGTTGGATGAAATTCAAAAATCTAATTCACCAAATCGATGCAGAATTGTTCAAAGGAAAAGCACGCCGATTTTCATGTCGATCGGACTTGAATTGACGGGGCCTTAGGATTTTTTGAAGAGCGTCGCCCAAAGAAGACGGACAAGATGAATAGCGGTTAGCGACCAGATCATGGTCCCCCCTGGTCCAAAAATCCGGTACAGTTGATCCGCACGAGTAGTCAAGACACAGACGAGTGACAAATTCGGCAAAATCGAATAATGTAAAAAAAACAAAAAAAACTAGTACGATCGTTCTATGGTCAAGGAACTGGACATGATGGCATCCCAGCCATCTTGGCGTTTTGACGTCATATAAATCGATGCATAATTGTCCAAGAAACACGCATCCTTGTTACATGTCGATCGTACATGGATTTGCGGAGCCTTAAGTTTTCCGAACAGCGAAGCCGCCAAGCACCAAATAACAAGATGTGAACAGGGGCGGATCCAGGGGGGGGGGGTAGGGGGTCGCCCCCCCCCCCCCCCTGCTCAGCTACATAATTTTTTTTGTAAATCAACACTTTTTATTAGAAAAGTTTCTCGGCGGTGTGCTTTATCCTTTATCGTCAAATGTGGGACAGGATGGGAACTCAAAGCACGAGATAATGATATAGACATTATGTGATATCACAATTAATGCTTTGCAACCATGAAATTGAATCACAATGTCATTGTATTAATTCATAATAAAAATTGACGTCAAACGAGGTGTTGAATTTCTCTGTTTAAAAAGCTCAATGTGTATGTATATACGCCAAAATGACGAAAGATACCATTGGGGGGGGGGGGGGATACATTGTCTCAAGAACCTGGCAAACCCCCTCCTGCAAAAAGTCCTCGATCCGCCCCTGGTGAAGCGCTTCGGAACTAAGAAAATGCTCAAAAAGGGTTCAAGAATGTATTAAGACTGTTCTTGAAATAAACATCCCTACGTGTGGTCAGATCCACGAGAAAGTTCGTTGAGATTTACCGTCGTGGTCCCTCCTTGCCAGTGGTGTAGGGCGGGGGGTTTGGCAAGGGACATCGTCCAGTCGTTCGCATGGACGGAAAACCGAAAGAACCTTTCGCAGTTTCGAAATAAGAGTGAGCTGTAGAGCCACTGCCTGGTCAAAATTTCCCTCATAGTACACTGTATGCCCGTGTTCATTATCCTGATCCGTCCTTAAAAGTAGGACGTTAAACCCCATTCCATGCCATAAAACGACTAGGTATTCAACATGCCAATACGAATTATTTCCTATATGGGTGGCCGAATGCCCCCATTCAGTCGGAGCAGAACAGCAGGACGTTAAACGCCATTTCTTCGCTTTCGATCATCAAGACTGTTACTGAGTCAAGCGGCCTGGTTTCAATTCTCAGCTTGAACGTGACAAGAAGGGGTTTCTTCCACTGCTAAAGACCTGGTTAATGTTGAGTGGACATTAAACTCTATCTCTCTGAAATAAAATGAAAATTCTTATCTTATCCGAAATATCTGATTCTTGTCATAGCAATTAGGGTAATTAGGATGATTGAACGCCATGAGAGTATTAGAAAGATAAGATTTGTATTTTGACAGTGTTGAATTACCTCCAATTATACTCTGTTTGAAAGCGGAGTCCTTCATAGTTCCCAACGATGTAACTATCCAAGGGTGTATTGAAAACGATAGACTAATCGCGTACTGATGTTTATCATTTATTTCGCTCGCATGTGATATCCGAAAGTCATATTGTTATCGACACAGCTTCTGGGATACTTTTCGTACAAAGGTCGGAGATACATCTTTGAATGGTGAATAATTAATTAAAAACTCGCGGGAAACACTGGCTCGCTAACTAGGTAAATGAAATGAAATGGGGTTTAACGTCCTACTGTTCTGGTCCAAACAGGGTTAATGAAGACGGCATACGCCATACAGTGTGCTATGAGGGAAATTTTGCTCGGACAGCGGCACTACGGCCTACTCTTATATCGAATTCCAACTGTCAAGGGATCTTTTACGTGCACGCCAATGTGTACACGGGACCTCGGTATTTCGTCCCACCCGAACGACTAGACAGCTGTCCTTGTCAGGCCCTCCGTGCTGCATCACTGACAAGGGAGAACCACGCCGGACGCTAACTAGGTGGACCTGGTTTCATCCCATTGTCATGGCCGAGAAAGTGAAACACGACGGACGATTTAGTATACCCGTCAAAAGGCCATAATTTGACTTCATAATATTATCTATAATGGTAGATATTTCCATTTGTTCAAACTTGTGGGAGGATTTATTTTTATTTCACTCTAAATAAATTTAATTCGTTCATGCCATTTGATTTTTAACAGAAATGTCCGTAGCTTGAGGGAGAATGGCGCTCACTCCTCCGATCTAATGAATGGATACTATTATTATTGCTTTCAGAGAATATGGTGACAGAGATTCACAGTTAGTATTTTACTGTCGAATGCCCTTTCCGATTCCATACTCATTAACATTCTACATACAGAGATCCACCCACATCATACTTCGAGATCTCTGACTTAAATGGTCGCCATATCCAAAAATTAGTATACTGTTTTGTAATGGGGTTGTACTTCGTTTTACATCTGGCATACACACAAAGACTAAATAAACTTTTTCAATTTTATTAAATGGAAGCAGAATTAAATACTTACTAAAATTCTGGAAGTATACTTAGTGTTTCCGACTAAAATCGGTCAACTAGCTTAGTGTCTGTTCTCAAGCCTGGAGCCACGGTGGCTAGGTGGTTAAGACGCTGGCTCGCTAGCCTGGAGGTCGGGTGTTCGATCCCTGAATTGGCCGAGATAGTTCATCCAGATTTTCCGACGTGGTTTCCCCTTGTCAGTGGTGGTGAACGGAGGGCCTGACAAGGATAGCTGTCTAGTCCTTCGGATGAGACGAAAAACCGAGGTCCCGTGTATATATTGGAATGCACGTAAAAGATCCCCTGGCAGTTGGAATTCGATATAAGAGTAGGCGATAGTGCCGCTGCCCGGGCAAAATTTCCCTCATAGCACACTGTATGGCGTATGCCCGTCTTCATTAGCCCAGTATAGGAGCAGAACAGTAGGACGTTAAACCCCATTTCATTTCATTTCATTTCATTTGTTCTCAAGTCTAAGCTTTAGTATAACTGATTAAATAACGCCAAAAGAACCATAAAATATCTTTTATTGCGGAGTCGTTGAATGCTTATTGTGCAATTCCTGTGTATTCAGGATTTGTTAAAAAAAAAAGCATTATGTAAGAGCTAATCGGCCTATTGTAGGTCTTTCTTTTGGTTTCAAATGTTAAATAAATTATTAGTTAGACAAGCCTATAATCAACTCGCTAGATCATCGGGTAGCTGACATTCAGATGGATTAAAACACCAGCGGATTTAAAAATTTAACGATAAAATGGAAAAGCGATAATTAGCCCCGATTGTCAGGTACCGTTGCTACGATAATCTACAATCTACTCTAATCTACAATCTACGCTATATCTTCAAACAGCCATACTTTGGCTCAGAATAAAGTAATTTGAATGAAATTTTCAGTATATTCATTTTTCATTATCTAGTTGTGAACTATAATTATAGTAAGAACGAACACTCTTTATTTACATCTTACATAATGGATCTTTAAGAAAAAGCTCGGCTCCCAAATTGTCCTGGCAGAATCATCCAGAGAGTGGTGTTTAAGTAATAGTTATATACCTTGTTTTCAAGGTGTATGGGTTGATACACCGTCTCTTTTT